GTCATGTCAGTGGTTAGCTGCGGGGTCGCACATAAAGCATTGGGAGTTAAAACCCAAAGATCATCATTAATAAGAACCCTGAATACACAGAGTTGTATCCAGGGAGGTCACTACAGTTTCCCCCTCCACCACAGGCAAGTCAGCAGTAAACAAATACGCACTGCTCCTTTCCATTGGGTCTACATGCAAAATATTTTATCAATTTAGCTATATTGGTGATTTAAAAACCAGAAAACTAGTGATCTGTTTTGGTTAATCACGCCAAAGTGGCAAAGCTGTGTTAGTGCAGCTACAGTTATTTCATCCAGTTACTTGGGATGCGGGTGCAAAACATCTTTCATTTCACTTCAACCAACCAACAGGAACTGCCCCTTGCACCACCGCGGCTGCATCTCTGGAAGGAGGAGCGAGGAGGAGATGGGGGCGAGCATCCTGCATAGTTTTGGCAGCAGAGCTGTGGGGCAGGGTAAGGGCTGTCCTGGCACCCGCGTTAATCCTGTAGGAGAACAGCTCTGCACCAGCTGCAGAGAGGGACCTACGTGCTCATCTCCTCCCAAATTCATGCGCTAGGTGACATTAGCCATCTTCTGAGCTTTTAATTAGTTTGGCTTTGTATTTAAAGCACATCTTGGGCATTTCGAAGCCTGCCATACAACATGTCTTGTCCACGATTCTTTTCATGAGGCTTGTGGGGCTGCGTTTTCTGGGCTGTGGTAGTACAATCTGGAGTTGTGAGAGAAGGCCCTCGGGGGCTAATCCGTGGCTGCGGGCCAGTTTCTGCACAAACTGGTCTTATTTTTAAAGTCCATTTTCTTCAGTACACTTTTTTTTGGCCTGCAAAAGACTTCTTCATTTAAAACGAAGAACATAACACTCTCTCCTTTCAGTTGGTCTTTTGGACACAAGCCAGTAGTGCCCACAACAGCTGTACCACAGGTTAAACATTCAGTCTCTAATGGTTTGGGGAACATTAGGGTTTTTAAGGCTTCAACAGGTCTAGAGTAAATAGTGGTCAATAAAGAGTAGCTCTTCTTTGTATCCCTATGCTCTCAGTGCTCTGCACTAGAATTAAGCATGCTTAGAATATAATCATTGCGAAATTAATATCCATGAAAGGTTCTTTTTTTGAAAAGAATCGTAGAGAAACCTGTTTCACTAAAAGAAGAGTTTGCAAGAGTTCAACTCGCAAGAATCTGGTACCAGGCATGGGGAAGTTTGCACGTAATGTCTGTTAAACGTGCTTGTGTTGCTCCCCATGTCTGTGTTTAATGCTGCTACATGGGAGGAACAAATAAACTACAGAGAGGAATTACAAATAAATGTCTCTGTTGTCTTCTCCCACCCACCAATCTCTATTAATGATGTACACAAGAGGCAATTATGATTTTTTGTCTTCCTTACGGCTTCCCAGTGTTGCATGGAGTCGAAAGCCCGTGTGTGCTGATAGGTAATGTTTAGCATAGTGTTTTGGACCCAAATGAGGTAGAAACTACATTAGCAGCGATGGGTGACAGTCGGACATTGCCCTTGTCAGTAATCAAACCCAATGCCAAGGAGTAGCACTGCCTTAATGATTTAAATGGGTCAATGTTGTGGAGCTGTCAAACTGTATGGAGGGAAGTGCTAATTTCTTTCAAGTTTTGTAGGTGTGGGGGAGAAAACACAAGCCATGTGGGGCTCCTTATCATGAAGGAAAGCCCGTGGGCATCGCAGTGCTTCTGCAGCATTGGGTCTGTGTCCGCAGGCACCTTGGCCCAGGAAGGCTTAAATTGCTCTGTTGGCTGCTGGCCACTTCATTTACAGCACTTCATGCCACTGTGCAAAAACAGTTTGTAAGTCGTTGTACTCTCTGAGTTAATTAACCCCTTCCAATACCCTTCCGTGTGTTTCCTACCTGGTGTGGGGTGTACCTTGGTTCCTAGATGGGGGATCGGGGCTGCAGGATGCTGACACGTCCCGCGCCTGTTGCTCCTTGCTGAATAAGGAGACAAGAGGGATGCTGGAGTAGGAGAGGGGGAGACTTCATAGGCAAAACAATGAAAGTGCCAGCCTTGCAAGGCATTCTTCTGAAAAATAGGATTATATAAAAGCCTGGCTACTGTGGTGCTTCTCATTAGTTGCACTGCAGGGTTGGCCGCAGGACAGGGTTTGTTACAGTTGTCACCTTTTTGGCTGGAGCAAGGTGGGTGTTAATAGATGTTTCAGTTGTAAATTGCTTTGCATTGAAGCACCAGTGAAGACTTGCTGAGATATGTTTTTTCAGTTCAGTTTTCAAAGTTAACTAGTTTTTGGAAGAGGCAAGAAGTAGTATTAAAAGTTTAGAAGTTAACCAGCCTAGCTAAGAGGTTACCCCTGCATGACAAGCCAGAGCTTTAAAATACACTTGTTAAGTTTATTTAGGGCCATTTGGTAGGGGTTCATATCTTTACTTCTGTTGGGAAGTTTCATAACATTTTCCTACCCATTGGTATTCTGTTAAAACTTTGTTGTGTAATCTAAAAGCCTTTCTGCTTCTCATGGTTTCCTCTCATAGCTAATTCAGAATGCCCTAGATGGCAGTTTTGGAATAAATGCATTCAGGCTGCATGGTCTTGATTTTGTTTTCTTATAAATTCAAAACAAGCTTTGAAATTAAGTCCTATTGTCAATTTTCCTTTAAATAATAGTTGCCTAATGACATGATTTAAGAATTTTTATCTAATGTCACAATACTCTTGGGAAAGCCTGTGCCTATAGTTGTATTGTAGTTAAAACATCAGTGAAATCTCCAGCCTATTACCATATGCATTTAATACTTCTAGTTCTATATATATGTTGTGTTAGAGAGGATAGATCAGTGGAGTCAGTAAAAATATACGCGTGGGTCCTGCAGTGTTGGACTGGTCTTGTTCTTGCTGTGTGAGCTCTCCATTGTAATAAATTGTGCTTACAGGACTGACCATGAGTGGGTGTGATGTGAGGTCTCCTAGAACCCTTAACAGAAGCAGCGAGGTTCAAAATGGACGAAAAATAAAGTGTTATTAGTAGACGAAACAATATAGGGATACAAATGAAGAACAGTCTTTGGGTGAGTGGAAAAACATGCCTCTCAGGAAAGCATGAGGTTCATTCAATTTGGATAACTCTCTGCTGAACGCAGGATTAGACCAGCTAACCTCTGCCTATAGCACTCTTTTAAATCTTGCATGACTTCTAAAGGCATATACGTCTTGACAGGCAGCTCATCTGTGGCTTGCCGAGAGGCCATCGTCAAGATGTTCTCCTTTGGCTGCGTTGCTGTATGGGATCTATCTAATAAGAGGCAGCCTCTGGCCTGAATTGCTCACAGA